AGGCTGCATGGTGGTGATGAGGATTAGGTAAGAAATATGAAGCCAGTAATTAGAAGGATGTAACAGAATTGGTAAACATTGGAAAAATTAAATTGGGAAGATGAAAGTGGGTATGAGGTGAAGCCTATCCTTTATTTTCGGTATACTTTAGATCATGCAGTCCTGGTGGTTTTGTTCGTCTTATAGTGTTGTATTGTATTTTGCATGTTCAAAACCACTATCTTATCAATCTTATGGGACCAAGATATTCTGATGTAGTTGAATCTCACTTCCCATATCTAATTAAAGCAGGCGTATACGAATTCATTGCCCAGCACTCTGTTGGCTTCAAGTGCTCAGGCTGTAAGGGAAGAATTTCCATACTCACCCTTCCCAGTGTCACAATCCATGCCCACAAAATACAGCAATGCGGCTTCTTCTATCAGTGGTCCCACCATCTCCATGACAGAGGTGCCTTCCTTTCTATAGTGTATTGAACTTACTAATTATTCTTTCAGTATATATTTTGACTATTATAAAAACATTTTTACAATTTATTTTGTGGACGTAAGTCACTTGTGTATGCATAAAATAAGTTAAATGAATGATTTTAGAATATAACATAAGTGCAGATGTTTAAACATTCTTGTTAATCGAGATTCATGCTTAAATCCAAAAATTAAACTCAATGTATGCAGCATATATTAGTCAAAGTACATTAAGTTGGCTGCAATTTACTTTTTATCTGTTCTGTTCTGTGAAGGCCATGGATTTGTTGGTGCAATCAGATGCCTTCTGCTCGTGATTGAATTAATTTAGCCTATTTTTAATCAGCTAAGGCTATCTATCTTTTCTACTTTTCTGAGCGAGCCTCTAGGGATCTCTTGTAAACCCCCATGATGTGGTAAAGGGAGGATATTAGGGGGCCGACGAAGGGGGGAAAACGGAAGGTGTTTTCTGGTCCCCCCTGATACTAAATTTTTTCAATGGTTTGATTTTATTACTTTCAGAATTTACTATTTATGATTGCAACTTATGTATGGGAGGCATTTGCCTGTGTTTTCTTTATTTTGTGTGCATGTTCTAATCCTATGGAATACATCCTTTTTTCGAATTTTTTATTATGGACAACAAGTGCAAAGAATGAAATTGTTCATTTTTTAGTGTTTTGGGGTCAACCTATTCTCTATTTTTCTGATCATAGACACGACATTAAAGATATGAAATTTCCTTCCAATTATTTTATTTTGTATCTGCAGGCATTGAGAGCAGGTGGTATTTCTCCACCTCAGCCTACTCCACAGAACCTGCCTGGTGCTAGTGTTGCGACCGGACCTGCTCTTCCACAACACCTTGCGGTGCACCCTTATTCCCAACCCACTCTTCCTCTGGGGCATTTTTCGAACATGATCGGTTATCCTTTCTTGCCTCAGAGCTACACATACATGCCATCGGCTTTCCAGCAGACTTTTGCTGGCAACAGCACATACCATCAGTCTCTGGCTGCAGTTCTCCCACAGTATAAAAATAGTGTCTCTGTTAGCAGTTTGCCTCAGTCTGCTAATATTCCGTCTGGTTATGGGTTTGGTAGCTCAACCAACATTCCTGGGGGAAATTTTCCTCTGAATCCACCCTCAGCACCTACAGGCACAACAATTGGCTACGATGATGTTATAAACTCTCAGTACAAGGACAATAGCCATTTGATCTCACTTCAGCAGGTAATTTTTCACTGGTCTTGGGAAAACTCGTGAGAAGTGCTCACACACAACTACTACTCCGTACTTGGGGAAATCTTGCCTATGATTGTGATACGTCATTCTTCTTTTGAATCCTAAATGGTATTCTTATTCCTTTTTTTTCCTCTTCCAGAATGACAACTCAGGCATGTGGGTTCATGGACCTGGTTCGCGAGCAATGTCTGCTGTTCCAGCCAGCACATATTACAGCTTTCAGGGTCAGAATCAGCAGCATGCTGGGTTCCGGCAAGCTCAGCAACCTTCACAGCAATTCGCCGGAGCTCTTGGTTACCCCCCTAACTTCTATCACTCTCAGACGGGAATGTCCCTGGAACATCAACAGCAAAGTTCCAGGGACACGTCCCTTGGTGGCTCGCAAGGCCAACCCTCTAAGCAGTCTCAACAGTTGTGGCAAAACACCTACTAATCTGAGTCACCTCCGTCTCCCCAGTTTTTTTTCAGGGTCTTGTAGTGAGTTTGAAAGTGGCCAACCAGAGGCATTATCGCGGTCTTAATAATCATGTATCATTGTTTGGTCGTAAGAGACTGGCTGCTGCCCTGTGCCACGAGGTTGTATTCTAGATACTATTTCTTGGTCATGTTTAACGTAGGAACACGTGTGCTAATTTGGATTAGTGGATTTACTGCGTCCCTTTTCTTCGGTTTTCTTGTCTCTTTTTTTTTTCTTATAGTGGAAAGTTGTTTTTCATAACAAGTCTTGAACTTGGATCACTAGATTGGTTCCTTTGCATGAGTAAACCTTATACATGAACCCTTACGAATGTGTAAAAGTGTGATGATGGCAAAAGGACAACTCCATTAAAGATTCAGTTTTCTTGTCGAAAACTCCATTAAAGCTTCAAAGGACCATTTTCTTTTCTTCAATATACCTTTCTTCTAATCAAGTTCATTGTTCTCCGTCTAATTTTTGGCACAACTTTTTGGTTTTTTGGGTTAGGTATACTTATGCTTTTATTGGATGAAACACATGCTGTACGAGGTTATTTGCATGCCTCATGTACTAACAAAATAGACCTGGAAGTGAAACAGAGAAGCTGAGAATAGAACACGTTAAGAATGTGTCCACATTGTACTTCGACCCTGGCAAGCGCAAAACTTCCTTGTTACTTAACACGGTGGTTTGCACAGGATAGAAGCCTAAAAGTGACACATAACCTGACCGTTTTTGGTGGCTGCGGCCTCGTCCTTCTGATCATCCTCGGGCTATTTGGAGTGAACGTTGATGGACTACCAGTAACAAAGAATGTACCATATGCCTTTGGAGTATTTTCAGCCTTTCCCGTGGCTATATGAGCCGTGCTAATTGCAGTTGGGTTGCTCTGTCGTGGGTTGAAAAAGCCGATCATGGAAGAGCAAGTTGAAGTTGGAAGGTTGGGGCTTCAAGAGTTGGTTAAGATGTTTCAGCATGAGGTAGAGTCTCATGCCCTGATTCGTAAGAAAGTGTATTGGAAGAATTTACCCCACAACGGCTGGTGATGCATTCCCACAGAGTATTTATCAAAAATAGCCAAAATTAGGCTCATACTTTCATTAATATCAGTTTCTATAAAAAAAAAAAAAAAAAATTCAAATATAACAAAAAACCCACTTAAAAAGATATAAATACCCTAAAAATTAAAACTCACATAAACCTAAAAAGTTTCAAAGTAAAATCGATTGCTTGCATCTCCACACGAAACTCCTTCCCACCTTCTTTGACTAGCTTCTCAAATGATTCCATTGCAATGAGTTTTTTTTCCCTACGTTTAAACTCCTTTTGTAAACTCTCCCAACGACCCCTTTCCAATTCTTGTTTGTGGTAGTAATGACCATGGTAGTTGGACTCTTGAGGATGGGTAATAGATTGGTGTTGATGTGAGTGTTGTTTATAGTGTTACTTGTTATGATGTCGACCTTGATGACAGATGTAGTGGACTCCTTAAGATCCCTTCTGACATGTTTGAGGGGTACGTTTTGTTTTGCACAAATATTACTCACACTGTAGAAAACAGCAGCCCCGCAATTGCAGACTTCCAAACAAGACCTTTATATCCCACACAAATCAGCCAAAAACCTGCTTGATCAAACATAAGCAATTTATATGCAATAAAAATGTATTAATTTTGAGATGATTAAACAAAACTTGTCAAGTCTGGTAAAAGATGATCGCCTGCGAAATATTAATATAATTTTTTTAACTTCTAGGTTTATGTGAGTTTTAATTTTGAGGATATTTGTGTCTTTTTATGTGGGTTTTTTGCTACATCTGAAATTTTGTATAAAAACTCATTCCCCCATGATGCAGATTGTCTCATCATTTAATGAATACGTTACAATTTTTGAAGTGCAATGTTTACACCCATGGCAATTTCTTGATAACTTCATCTAAAAAATAAACTTGTAAGATTAGTTCCAAAAATAGACTAGAATTTCAAAATAAGATGGGCTAGATTTACTTTACGGGTGGACTACTAAATTTTAAACTAAGACTATAAGTAGAATAAAAAAGGGAGTTTCACTAAAACACCCAAAATGGGAGCTGAAATTATAAAAAAACCCAACACCCAAAACACTTTATAAAAACACCCAAAATCCATCATTAACCCATTTATAAACACATCCAAAAAATATAAAATTGTTGATTTTAGGGTTGATTTTAGGTGTGTTTCTATATTTAAATAGTGTTTGAATTTTTTTATAAATACATGTCTATGATTGGGTTTATTTATAAATTTGTAAATAAAAAACTCACTTGGGCTATAACTTAGGTTAGACACCACAATGATCAATAGCCACAAAATCACACAAGCGCTCATAACCTAGTAAAAAATATAAAATGAAAACAATACCAAATTAACTCGATACTTCTTTTGGACACATGTATTAAAAAGTTCATAAGCTAAAAAAATATTTACAAATTTATAAATAAACCCAATCCTAGACATGTATTTATAAAAAAACTCAAGCACTATTTAAATATAGAAACACACCCAAAATCAACATCAAAGTCAACTTTTGGGGTGTGTTTATAAATGGGTTTTAAGTGTGTGTAATGATGAGTTTTGGGTGTGTTTATAAAGTGTTTTGGGTGTTGGGTTTTTTTATAATTTCAACCTCCATTTTGGGTGTTTTACTCCCAAAAATATTCTGGTAGGGCCTCCACTGCTGGTTGAGCTTGAGCTTCAACTTGAAGCAAATCGCAATTCGCCACGCACACACACACACTCCCTCTCTGCCACCAAGGCGCCATACATGGTTAGCAGCCTTCACACGTCCTTCCTTTTTCTCATAGATTCGGAGCTTTTCCAAGTTCCTGTGCGTTAAAGTTTTCAACTTTAGACCTTCTTCTCAGGGAAAAACCAAACAAAGGCATTGTCTTTATGGGAATTAATTCGAAGGGCACTCTACCTTTTTTCTTTGGTAAGCTTCGCCTCTCATTTCCTTGCAGTAATTACATGAATTGAAATCTTTGTTTAATTCATTCCAGAACCTTTACTTGACCATTTAAATTCTTCAGCATACTTTCTTCTTATCAATATCATTGTTTTTCCTCTGATTTGTCTGGGATAACTCTCTCTCTCTCTCTCTCTCTCTGTTGGGTAAATTTTTTACTTTTCTGGATTATGTTCTTATTTGTTTGTTTATATGGGTAGAGTTCAGGTTTTTCTGATTTATTTTGGTTGCTTGTTCTTGTTCTTCTTTTTTATTTATTTATTTTATTTTTACAAAATTTGATTATAGGGTCCGGATAAAACTAAGAATGCTTCCCATTGATAAAAGGAGGTGAATTCTTTAGTTTGAAGGTTGCAATGCATGTAAAAATGGCGAGTTTTAAATGTTTATGAGTTGTGCTGTGTCAAGATGGGGAGTGAAACTATAGTAATGTTTTGATAATTTTCCAAACATTGCAGTATTTAGCTGTGATCAGCAACAGCTTAACCTGTCTTTTGTAAGAGACGAACCAAAGCTGCGACGCAATTCAGCCTCTTGGTTACTTTTGCTCCTTGCGGTCCTGAGACTATTATTAACTGATTGTTAACTTCTATATGTGCATTGATGGAACACAACAAAAGCAGGGCTGGTGAGAACAGTTCTTCCAATGGTTATAAGATGAAGAAACTAGATAGCCATAAAAACTGTCCTAGTAGAGATGCCATTGCTGGAAGTGATCTTTGGACAGATGGACTTATTTGCGCTTTCGAATTTATTCGAGGCCGGAAGAAATCAATTAGTTCGAAACCTGGCTCAAGAATCCTAACCAAACAACAAACAGATGGTGAGCATGAGAGGCTGCGTGTTCCTTCTGTTGGATTTTCTGAGTCTTCTTCTCCAGTGGAAGATAGGAGCAAGTCCCCAAGTGATGACTACAGAGGTAGCCAGATTCAACATGATATTGAAAGATTTGAGGGTGGTCATTGGGTACCAATTGGGTGGTCTAGACTTTCAGAAATTGTCCAAACTGTGCAAGCTGATTCTGGTTGGGCGTGTCAGGAGTTTGGGGTGGATGATGAAGATGACTTCACTGTTGCAGATTTAGCAGCTCCCTATTGGGAGCGTCCAGCAGGGCCCATTTGGTGGTGCCATGTCTCTGCAGGTCACCCATCAGTTGATTCATGGCTCAGAAATGCCCAGTGGCTGCACCCTGCCGTTAGTTTAGCCTTGAGAGATGAAAGTCGACTGATTAGTGACAGGATGAAGCACCTGCTATATGAGGTAAGTTGCATTTTAAATATCTGAAATTTCTATTTAATTGGTAGGATTGGTTTAGTAAATCCTCTTGTAATAGTAAAAAAGACCTGGGATTGAATCCCTCAACCATGAATTGGTGGCTTATTGGATGTCAGGGGAGCCACCTTCTATTGGACCCAAGAGAAAAACTGAGAATAGATTATATCATGAATGTGTTACTTAGAAACTATTGATAAGTTTTATGAACTATTAGGATCTTCTTATGTTGGAAATATGTGTTTCCAATGCGAAGGAGTATGTTCGTTATGAAAATTGGAAATGTGGAAGGTTGGTTGAAATGGTTTTAACTTAACCCTCTTTTCACCATTGGACTCTGAGTAAGACAGAGACAGCTAGGAAAGTAATTGCATTGTGCTTGTGAGAGTCCTCTTACATCGAAGCTATCGTTAACATATTGACTAAGAGTCTGCAACTATGACTTTTGGCTTTTCTGGACTCTGGATTTGTTGGTTTTTTCTTTTTATGGTTTGATACTTCTGTTCAGGTCCCAGTTAGGGTTGCTGGGGGATTGTTGTTTGAGCTCTTGGGACAGTCAGCTGGTAATCCATTTGTTGACGAGGATGATATTCCCATCGTACTTCGCTCCTGGCAAGCACAAAAGTTCCTTGTAACTGTTTTGCATATAAAGGGGCCGGTATCAAGCGTTAATGTGTTGGGTATCACAGAAGTTCAGGTTGTTCATGTTTGACAAAGATTCTTTCAATGCCTTTGATCTTCTTACTAAGTTACACTTTTTTGTGCTGTGTGACTTATTGTGGGTTTGTACTTTAATCGTTTGCTTCTCTGCTTTGGTTAGGAACTTCTTTCCACTGGCGGCTATAACATACCTAGAACAGTGCATGAAGTCATAGCACATCTAACTTGCCGCCTTTCTCGATGGGATGATAGGTAATGTTAATATTATTTTTCTTTTATAGTGAAAATTACAGAAGCCTACCTACTCTGCAAAGTGATACATCAAATATTGGTGTCAGCATGAGCATTCATCTTTTATGCTTGAGGCTTTGATCATATAGAGATTTGATTTTATAATTATAATGATGTCTTCAACATGGGTGGTTAGTCTGTTTAGTATCTGGAAGTTCTTTCGTCTGTCTCTCATTGAAGTTCAAATTCTCTTTCATTGCCCATGTTTGACATTTATATATGCATCATACATGTTTGTCAATTTTAGTTTCTTAACTTGTGGTTTCCTTCGTTGTCTTGGTTGTTACAGGTTATTCCGTAAGTCCATATTTGGGGTGGCAGATGAGGTTGAATTAAAATTTATGAACAGGTTCTTCCATATGCATACAACCATTCCTCCTAAACTTATATTTTCTCATTAATTAGTTTCTACTTCGTTTATGACAACCTTTTTTTCCTCTATGAGTAGGAGAAACCATGAGGATATGAATCTATTATTTATAATCCTCAACCAAGAAATCAGAAAGTTATCAAGACAGGTATGCTAAATCCCTTGCTAGTTAGTAAGTATTAAGACACTTCCAGTGAACCTTTAGCTGGGATATTAATTGTGTATAATTTTTTTCAAGTCATGATTCTGTTGGGTGCCTACCAAGCTACATGTCAAATGAAGTCCTTTAAAAAGAGTTGGCCGGATTTTATCTTATTGTTTTCCTATATTTTGAAGTCGATAGGTTTGCTGAAAAATTCAAATGCAGGTTATCAGAGTGAAGTGGTCACTTCATGCAAGGGAGGAGATTGTATTCGAGCTTTTCCTACATTTGAGAGGAAATGTAGCAAGAAACTTATTAGAGCAAATAAGAAAGAGCACAAGAGAAATGATTGAGGAGCAGGAAGCTGTTCGGGGCCGCTTATTTACCATTCAGGATGTGATGCAGGGCACTGTTCGTGCATGGCTGCAGGTATGTGCTCATAAAACAAAATGGGAAATATAGAGAAATTTATAATTTCCATTTGTTATTTTAAAACGGCTTTTTATTCGTTTAATAGTCAATTCATTGTCTTCTGAATGGTTAACCCAGGATAGAAGCCTTCGAGTGACGCATAACTTGGCTGTTTTTGGTGGCGGTGGCCTCGTCCTTTCCATCGTCACCGGACTATTTGGAATCAATGTCGATGGAATGCCCGGAGCACAGAACGCACCGTATGCCTTCGGTGTTTTTGCAGCCATTCTCGTCTTTCTTGGAGTGGTGCTAATTGCAGTTGGGTTGCTCTACCTTGGGTTGAAACAACCAATCACGGAAGAGCAAGTAAAAGTTAGAAAGTTGGAGCTTCAAGAGTTAGTTCAGATGTTTCAGCATGAGGCAGAGACTCATGCCCAGGTTAGTAAAAAAGTGTCCCGGAATAATTTAACCCCAACCGCTGGCGATGCATTCCCACATGATGCAGATTATATTGTCCTTCAATGAACATGTTACAACTGTTGAAGTACATTTTGTATAATGGAAATTTTGTATTCGTGAATAGTGGTGAATATCATCCAGAGCTGGCAAACAAATTCTCTCTTAGTTTTTCAAATTAACCAAGTTCTACAGAAGTAATCAAATTTCATAACAATGCGACATTTTAAGCTAATTTGATACTTGAAAACCAGCACGCCATGTATATTGGACAGAAAAACATAAAACTGATGTTCTTTCTCTCCTTGCTTCTCTTCTTTCATATGGTGTACAAATCATTTAAGAAGTGATCTAGCTAGATGCTCGCGCGCAGTGGCCAAAGCTTGACTAATTGTCTGCAAACAAAAGATATATGCATTAACAACATAAAATATGTTGGCAGGGGGAGGCTATTTAGTTGTTGACTTGGAATCTTTTTACAAGTCAAGTTTAATTATCTAGTGCATAGGTATACCTGCTCGGACAATGGAGCTCCAGCATCAATGCTATGACTTGCAACCTTACTTGCTATAACATTTGAATCGGTCTCGAGGACAATACTGCACCAAAAAGAAAGAGTTGAGCCCCAAAAGTGAGATTTGCACTCATAGGCGGCTCGTGAATTGTAAAAGAAATACAATCAGACTAAACAAAAGGTGAATACATGCAACATATCTAAAAAGATCAATATTCTCTTCAAGTAAACTGCTACCACTCTGTTTCTTATGTCATGCTAGCTTATAAGAAAAAATGTAAAGGTTGGAAATTGAACTCACTGAATAACACTAAGAAACTTTATTAACGTGAAGACTATAGCTTACCCGCCATCAACAATTTCATCAAGGCATAATAAAATGAGATCCAAATTCTCAAGTGCCTCCTTCTTGTCTACATTGCCTCTGGACAAAAGCAAGACTAAATGAACATCAAAATTTAATTTACTGAGCGTAAAACATTTGATTATACAAAAACAGAGGATAAGTTAGCAAGCTTTAAGGAGGGAGCAAAAAACCTAAGGAGGATGCCAACTGCATCGAAAAATCCCTGGAGAACTGTGGATAAAATGAGCTCATTTTCATTGTCACCCCCAGTAACAAAAAAGTGAAGGTCTTGAACAAACTTGTAGACTACAATGGTGTTCTCAAACATTGCTATCTCGGCTGTACATGAAGAAGCAACAAGTTAATATAGAAATGGATAGCAGTTGATAGGGATTAGAATAATTGGATGACATATAACATATACAGAATATAACCTCAACAGAAAAATAATTATAGCTCAAATTACCTTCTGTCCGTGCATTTGTCTTTTGAGTTTTAGTAAATACAGCTTTCTCAAAAGATTCCTTTGCACTATTCGTTGGCCAGTCCTCTGAATAATACTTGACAGCCACACGCTTCCCTTCAGAATCGAGGAGGAGGATGTTCTTAATGGAAGGGCACGACTCCTACAAACAACAGCCAATGAAGGATAAAAAGATTGCCAAAATTTTGAATCATAATAGGATCACTACAGCAACTGATTCTAGCCCTGCCATTAAAAGGAAACAGCCCTAGCAACATTCACTTAAGGTAGATATCTTACTCATTCATAATTATCAGGGAAAACTAAATGTCTTGCCTCAAATTATATGAAAACATAATATGGTAACCGACTCTATCTAACAAATCATTTTACAAAAGTTAATAGTCAATCATTTGTTCCTGCAAGCCTAAATTTACCTGAAATTTGGATTGCAGCTGTACAATAAAGAGATATTGGTCGCAAGGTGTTCTTGTACATCTAAAATTAGCATATGAGACATAAAGTGTACCATCTTTCAGACCACATTATCCATGACAAACTTTTGGTACTACAGTAGCAAATGTGCATTAACGTTGTGATTGCATAATTTTTTGCGATCCATACGGAACCACATAGGATACACACATAAAACGCAGTCAATGACAATATTACTGAATACTTTCTACTACAAGTTTACTGAAATCATTTCCCAGGATCGTAGTTGGCTACGGTAACTCTGTTGCAAGCTCAGCAGGGTCCTATGAAGCTCGAAGGAGATACCGTATATAAAACATCTTAAAAATTCAAATGGGGATCCATTTATAACATTAAGAACATCTCTTTCACATGAAACAGAACAAACAAACATAAAAAACTTGTGATGTGAAATCATTTTCCCAGGGTCATGGTTGGCTAGGGTAACTCAGTAAGTCCCTACCAAGCTCAATTAAAGTTATTATTACAAATTCAAATGGGATCCATGTTTACCATTATGACATTGATGCTTTCCTGTCATATAGCAGCACAAAATTAACAACAAACCAACATAAAAAGCTTGTGAAAATTAGGACGCTGTATTAGTTTTAATCAGAAAGTGCATGCATATATAGCTATAATTTCAAGAATATGAATTTCAGTTGTGTTGCTGTTGCAGGATCTGCAAGATCCAGTTCTAAACAACTTGGATCCGCCTCTAATCATTCCACTCACGGATAGATCAAGAACCTCATACCAATGTAACCCTAACCCTAGCCCCTAAAATTGTTAAATCAATTGGAATTGGAATTTAAGGGGGGAGAGAGAGAAAGGGGAAGAGAGTGAAAAGAAACTGACCATTTTGTTCGGAGAGGAGCGAGTCTCTGATGAAGCAGCACAAGAAGCGAAATTTTTTGTTTTTGGGACACGTTATTCAATTTTATACTTTCCCCAACCCACCACTTAAGTTTTTGTTATTTCGATAAGAACCCCGAAACTATTTTTATTTTATACTTATTCACCACACATTCTATGCTAATTCCACCTCACCCTTGTTCTCTTTCTATTTTTGCCCAATCACATCCACCGCGGAAGCTTTGCGCAAAGACAAAATTACAGTTTCATCATCTGATATCATCACCACCGATCAACATCCACATCCAGAGTCTAAAGTACGATTCATGAGTCGGCTGTTGCAGAAGGTAACCATTAAATCAAACCCACCCCTCTCTCTCTCTCTCTCTCTCTCTCTCTCTCTCTCTCTGCTTCTGCTACTTTGCTTACATTTTGGGGAAATTTTCAGGCGCCATTAACATCGGTGTTTCAAAGCTTGGTTGGAGCTCATGGACGGTACTTCCCTACATGCCCCTGTTTTGTTTTCCGTTAGTCATGTGATTATATGTTGTTTGATGAAATTCTTTGTTCAAAATTGAAATAAAATAGAGCAAGTTTTATAGCTGATACGATTGATTGTTACATTCATCTTTTCTGATTATGTAGCACTTGAATCTGCTTTTTGAGTTGTATTATTCTGTGAAGATGAAATTTTTACTTAAATACAGCTCCAGTAGCCGAGTGTTTGGGATACTTCAGAACTATGTGGGAGTGTCATCTTGTAGAAAATCAGTTTGTGGATTTAGAGCTCTTTGCACTGGCAAAGGTGCGTGTAGCCCTTCCACCGTTTCTGTAACTTGATAATCAAATGTAATTTCACTCGAAACTTCGATTTGTTTACGTAAACCTTTCAAATAATCTTAAAGTGCCACCATGCAGTAAAACATCCCATCCATTCACAAAATTTTCGAAATGAGCTGCATTTCCTTGCTTCTCAGGATAAGAGATATGGCTTGGAAAGGCTCCTCTTTCTTGTGTGCAATCCTTAATCCACATGAACAATGAACGAAAGCTAAATTATCCACAAAGTACAAACATCACGCTGATATCCAGTTTGTCTGTGATCTATTAGTTTGTCAACTTTATTGCCTTGGCCCCATTCTAAATCATCTTGTCTTGGTTCACATCTTTGAGATATTGCTAGTCACTTCGAGACCTTTATGAGCAAACTGTAAAGTTTTAAGTTATTCCCGATCCTATTAGGGGTTAGGAATGCAAACATCACTTGTGTTGTGGTGACTGGTAAGTAATCTTCACTTCTTGGTAGGTTCATCTCTGTTTTTGCTCTCTATCCTCCTCAATTAGCTTGTCCGATTTCCAGTAGAATATAGAAGCTCTTATTCATTAAGGGGAAGGAACCTGCTTCTTGATTTGTTGGCCTTATCCACAGGTTTCCCTTTTTATCCATTATGACGGGCATTGGTTATTGACGCTATTTGTTCTGTAATATCAAAATTTGGTAATACTAGTGTTGTCATAGCTGGATTCTAAGGGAAATTTTATTCTTCTTATATGGCACTGTTTTCTGGCTGCATCAGATTTGTCAATAAAGAAGTGCGTCCCTTGCAACTCAAAGGATCTGCGACCCATGACTGAACAAGCAGCAAGTGATTTAATCACAAAGGTTTCTGACTAAATGAATATACACACAAACAAACACGTGTACACTTCTCTTTTAAAGCTAATATATTTGGTTTAGGTGGATGGATGGAATTTGGTGAGTGAAGGTGATGCATTGAGACTGAAAAAGTCATGGAAAGTTAAGACCTTCACAAAAGGACTGGAAATGTTTAAGCTCATAGCTGATGTTGCAGAAGCAGAAGGTATTTGAAGCCTGTTTTGTTTTCTGATGCATAGCAGTCTGCATGTATGAATATTTCATTTGAATTTGAGTAAGGTGGAATGTCTCTAATGTAGATGAGCAACAATAATGTTTATGTTGCAGGTCATCATCCAGACCTTCATCTTGTTGGATGGAACAATGTAACAGTAGAGATATGGACGCATGCAGTCGGTAAGGACTTGCCATTACCAAGAACCAATTTGTTTGTATAGTTTACTGCACGTTGAGGATGAGTTTTTGACATGAAATGCATTGTGCAGGCGGATTGACTGAGAACGACTTCATTCTTGCTGCTAAGATCAATGCACTCAACATGCAACATCTGTTGAGGCGGAAAGCTACCAACTGAGCTGCCAGAATCGGGTGATATGATGCCATGGGAAAACATGCTTTTGGCTTTTTTCTTGGCATCTTTGCCGTGAAATGAAGCATCTTAGGAAATCTTAGTTCAGTGTGTTTTTTTTCTGTCTAGTGTGCCTGAAGCCAATTACCAAGGCTTTTTTTTCCCTACTTTTTCGCTTTTTAGTTTTTTTAATAAATCAAATTTCATTCCAAGGGTAAAATGTTGGCTCAAACTTGGGCCTGCCGGGCCCGACGTATCTTCCTAAGCGCCAGTTTGGCACATAATCGAATGACCCAGAGGGAATTTTGCTAAAAAGTAGTTTACCAATTAGAATTGTAGAACTGCAATCCACAATTTTCCACCCAAAAAAAAATTTAATAAATCCACAATTTCACCTCTTTTATATCTCATAAATTATTGATTTAATTGTTAATAATAATTATAACCTGGCACACTAACATATAAAAAGTTATAATGAAGGAGATATGAGCTTAGCCTAGTTGGTTAGGGCGGTTGTGCTCTCCATTTTGCACCTGAGTTTGAATCCTCATTTTTGTAGTTGAGATTAGTTTAGAGTAGAATATCGTTTGTATTTTTTTTATTATAAAAAAGTTATAATAATAAACAAAGTCTTAGTCTATAATATTTCTCTACAATTGGCAGAGCTTATGAGACGAGATCTAGAAACCTTGTCATGGGATTGGCATGCAGACAGCTAGAAAGTTTTACCCACTTTCCTTTCCTTGCTTGCTTTCTTTTTTCCCCTATCCTTTTATGCATGGAATCCAATTCCATGCTTTTGCAACACTTTCAGCCACTCCGTGCATAAATATGGTCCATACAAGTGTTAGCCTACCAAAAAGCATAATCGCTCTGCGGATTTATTTCTCAAGAATTAATTGGAACAAACCTTACAATCAGTCGAGAGCCCCACAAAAAGCCATTAATATGTTTCATTTTCAGCTTTTTTTCCCTTGGGGAGGGGACCCTTCGTGAATTTACATCCGGCCTAATGTCCCCATACAAGTCTTGGTACATTTGACAATTGTTTACCTCATTAACAAGCAGATAAGAGCTCAACTCACTTCGGACCAGAGAATGTAAATATACTGCTTCATGGCTCAATGACCAAGGACCCCCATCTTCCAACGGGGAGGTAATTGTGCGTAACGGTTTCTTATCAGCTGAAGAGCAAAGATTGACAGAAATACCTGCAAGCCTAGCACCAAACCCCGTCTCAAACTAGTCAGATTTGAAGTTACAGTTAGCAGTATTACAAAAGTATCAGTTGATGTTTTCCTTTGAAAAGTAAAATAAAAATAAAAACCATAAGTTTGAATCGCCGTGCGCGGATATGGGGATTATCCAATGCCACCATTTCCAAGCAATTCGGAAAATGAATGAGTATGTAACATCTAGGATTTAAAAACTGCCTACATTACACCATCGTAAATTCTAGCAAACACACCTCCAGTTCCTGCAAATTCTACTCTCAAGTAGCAACAGTACATTTTTCCATCCTACAATAGTGCAAGGTTCAGAAGAGTCTAGGATACACAATCAAATTGATGCATTTTCTACCACCTTTTGTTTTTATTGCTCCACAGAAGGATAGTCTGATCAAGTCAATGTATGTGAACTGAATGTTTCATCTCTTTAGAATTCCTTAGAACTTAGAAAGGTCTGCTAGCAAAGAATAGAGCATAAAACTCAATTGATTTTTTTATTTGATTCACTAGTTACCGTTAGAAGAGAAGTTCTTCCTAAAATACCCTGTTCTGAGGAAAAACAACTACAAACTGGCAATTGAAACACCGATGTTACGAAATTTTTGTGATACTCGGTGTTCACAAGTTTAGTCTATTCCTATTCCAGTGGCATACCAAAAGTGTTACCAGGGCCACCTTAACTTGTTTGTGCACCTCATATGCCATCTTCCTCCTGAAAGCCTGGTTATTCGACTATTACGATAGCCTAGGACTAATGTGACTCATTCTCTCCTAGAACTTAGTCCAACGAAGACATGAATGCCCACATTAGATCAAGCAAGATTACACACAAAACTTCACCCACAACTATTCAAGTAATGTGATCCTCGATCTAGTTAATTCAAGTATAATCATATTCAGCTGACATATCCAACTAATTACACTAATCAACTTCTACAACAACTTGCAGATTCAAGACACAAACTCAAAGCTGCCCAAAAATATAAACCACATTAGTACCTCAAATCTCAACCCTCATTTTGAGACAGGCTTTTGGAGAAGAGCAGATAAGTAAACCTCTCCATTCTTCAACCCACCCGAATCGTTCTTGCTCGCCGTCGCCCACTTCACCTTCCTGTACCCCAATTTCCCAATCAACGGTCCAAAAATCTTATCAAGATCCGCCTCTTTGCTGAAAAAATGGTCCAGCCACAAGTACCCTCCTCCCCTCAACACTCTATCCGCATCAAACAGCAGAAACTCCAACGCCGTCACCGGTATCCACCGGTTCACGGCGTGCCCGCACCGCACCAGATCCACCACCCCATCGAACACTGGCAGCCGCTGCTGCAGCGGCGCGTGAATCGGCACCAGCCCCCTCAGCGCCACCGCCTCATTGTTGGGGATCCCGAGGTTCATGGTCGTGGTGACAATGGTGACATTGTAGAGCTTCATCCTCGCTGCGAAGGACCCGGTCCCGCCGCCGATGTCGATGCCGAGCCGGAGGACCGAGTTGGCCGCCTTGGCGATTTGGAAGAGCTGAGGGATGGGGAGGTCGAGCTCGGACTTGTAAGTCATGAAATTGACCACTTCGTGAGGCGGGTCGAAGCCCAAATTGAGGTTCTGGCGGTTGAGGCAGCTGAAGCTTTTGCACGAATACTTGGTCCACAAGACATTGGCGTCTGGAAGCGAAGAAGGAAATGGGTTCTGGGGGAGAGAAGAAGTGGGTTTTGGCGGGGTTTTGGTGAAGCAGCGGCGGCGAGGGAGGGGGGGGGAGCCGCGCAGAGAGGGGGA